TTGTACGGAAGTTCTGTGTGTAAATATTCTGGAATAATTTCATTCACATGGAGGTTAAATATTATTCACGGAAAACGGAAGAGAATCTATTCGTGATATCAGAATGTACATTGCCATTACAGAGTACTACAGTTGTCATAGTCACACAGATACATAATATTCCAAAATATACACCTAGTAGTCTAAATAGTATTGCTCCACGAAAGCCGCCCCAGGTGGAATGGTGTGGAATGCAGATCCGCCAGATACCAATCATTCCAGTCACATTCCAGTTAGCACCTTGGCCACAGAGTGGGAAATGGAAAGAATAATCTCGTTTACGTGGAAATGAGGTTTGACACGTCACGCACTGATGCCGTCTAGATCCGTGATGAACATTGACACGGTCTTGAAATTGAAATTGAAAGAGGAGCCGATACGCTAAACGTTGTCAGATACCTTTCATTTATCTTTGTGTAGGTCAGTAAAGGATGTGCTAGTTGAATCCGGTCATTGTAATGTTTGTTGACAGTCAGATAAGAGCAATGAAGTACTGGATAATATTATTAACAACGAAACCCAGTAGATGGAAAATTTCGAAGTTTAAAGTTAGATGATAATTAACAAAATCAAATGAGTGTCGTCAGTCAGATCCTCAAGTTTTAAAATTGTCTGTGTGGCTGTTCACAAAAGACATGCGTTTGCACCCCACAGACCTGAATTCACAAGAAGTCACGATTGGATTAGACTGAAGATCTTTTGGTCAGGCCAGGACTTGGCTTCAGTGCTTTTAACTGATAAAGTCCAGATACTGTCTAGACTTTACAGATCCTCTTTCCCTGGTGTGGCATAGACAAAGAGAAATATTTCAAGGTTCCAACGACCTTGACCACTATGGAAGGAGCCCAGTTATGATTTAGGGAGAGATCAGTTGAACTGGAAGAACCGATCTCCATTTCCTGGGCACAACGACAGGTGTGTGTGGCTGGGATAGCATTGTGGATGTGTATGTGAAACCACATGCTGCTGCAATCCTCTTCGTGCTAGGATTATTTATTGTGTGTATTAGTGTCTGTCAGTGATACGACAAGCACTGTTCACCGCCAATATAGTCTGGTGATACGATAACCACAGTTTGATATCTGTTCATGTTCTGGCACTCGCTTCCTATCATCTGAATACATGTATATTCAACTTGTCAGGCAATGATAGTATGTATGTTCACTGTCTATTATCTGTCTTGATTAGCGACACATAATATCAAGTGAGTAAGTGACTCAGAAGAATATATACCTTGTAGCCGGTGAGCGGCTTTAATCCACCTTGTAGCCAGGGTGTCGGTGCCTTTAATCTACCTTCACACGTTTATTACTCAAAATAATCCACCATCGGTGGTACATGAGTATAACAAAGAAGAATGTTACATAAGAATGTACAACAAGATGACTAAATGATGCATCAATTAAAGTGTTTGCAAAACAATCTTGATGAACTTGGATACATTTTAAGGGTAGATATTTAACTTGAAAACAGTTGACGGAATTTCGATAAATTTGGCCAGGAACTATAAGGTTCTTTTTAACAACGATTTACGTATGTCTGCAAAATAATTACATTTAAACAAATAGAGGAACTCATCTCCGATCAAATGTGAGTCACATAAGTTACAAACTCTGTGTTCTTTTGGTATATTTTGCCATCTCCCAGTTTCTATGGGAAGTTTATGGTTGCATGTTCTAAATTTTAGGATCGGTTTAGAAATAGCATCTGAGAGAAGTAGGTATTGTTCAAAGTTTGGAGAGCGCTTCAGAACTTTATAGTATATTCATTTAGAGGAGTTTTGCATATCGCTCGTCCACGATTGTAAAATTGGTCCTTTAAGATAGATTCAACATTTGAAATGATCCATGAATTTGAGTATAGATGAGGGTTGTCAAAAACGTCAGGCAATCCGCACCTACAGAAAATATGTTTAATATGACTTAGCCAGACATAGTTATTCGATGTTTTGTTTTGTTTAGTAATATATTGAAAATGAAAGTTGCTATTTTGTTATTTGGATCTGATAATGTCAATTTACACCAGTACGAGATTAGTCGTTTCTGAAATTTGAAGCTGAATAGGTTCCCTACCAAGCTCCCCGTACACCATGAAATTAGGGGTGTTATATTTTAAACCAGTTGCTAATTTAAGAAATTTTAGATGTACTCTTTCTATCATGTCAGTCTTCTCATGTCCCCATATTTCACATCCATACATCAATATTGGTACTACTAATCTATCAAATGCAGAAAGGAGCAGGTCCAGTGGTAACTTAACATTTCTGGCACGTTTTAGTAACGCTATTGATGCCTTCATACCAAGATCGGCTATATGTCGCAATATACAGCGAATTTATTCAGTGTATGTTGTAAATCATCATGAGTTTCAGCTAAGAGGACTGTATCGTCAGCGTAAAGTAGAACTAGCAATTTTAGATAAATAATAAACTCATCATTATTTGTTTTTAATTCAATACCGACACATGCTTGTTCTTCTAAATGGGATTCTAAGTCATTTAGAAATAAAGAAAATAAAAGAGGAGACAAGTTTTCTCCTTGTCTAACTCCTGAATGACAGTCAAAGAAATCTGATCTTGCAGATTCTACCATCACGCAAGATTTAATATCATTATACATATTTTGTATTAAAGTCAGTATTTTACCCCTTGATACCAGTTTGTCTTAATTTGGTCCACAGTCCAATTCTCCAAACCTTATCAAATGCTTTAGAAAAATCAATAAAGGCACAAAAGAGTTTCTTTTTACATTTCTTCAAATGATTTAACAAATTATGAATAATAAACATATTATCTGTTGTGGAGAAGCCTTTTCGGAAACCGGATTGGACATGCGATATTATATCGTTATCATCACAAAATTTATTTAATCTATCGTTTAGGATGCCAGTAAAAAGTTTACCAAAGCAGTTTAAGATAGAGATTGGTCTATAATAAGTCGGGTCCGTACGATTACCAGTTTTGTTATAGATAGGTTTGATAGTACCAGTAAGCCATGCTTCGGGCAAAATTCCAGTCTGAAGTACAGCGTTAAAATATTCAACATAAAATGGGAGCAGCTTTGGCACGGCTGAAGATAAGTGCTCATTTGAAATCAAGTCTAAGCCAGGCGTCTTGTTTTTCTTCAGTTTTTGTAGCCAGTGCGTCAGTGCCTTTAATCCACCTTTGTAGCCAGTGCGTCAGTGCCTTTAATCCACCTTATAGTCAGTGAGCAGCTTTATTCCACCTTGTAGCCAGTGCGTCAGTGGCTTTAATCCACCTTGTAGCGGGTGAGCAGCTTTAATCCACCTAGCCTTGTAGTCAGTGAGTAGCTTTATTCCACCTTGTAGCCAGTGCATCAGTGGCTCTTTAATCCACCTTGTAGCCAGGGTGTCGGTGCCTTTAATCTACCTTGTAGCCAGTGCGTCAGTGCCTTTAATCCACCTTGTAGCGGGTGAGCAGCTTTAATCCACCTTGTAGTCAGTGAGTAGCTTTATTCCACCTTGTAGCCAGTGCGTCAGTTGCTTTAATCCACCTTGTAGCCAGTGAGCAGCTTTAATCCACATTGTAGCCAGTGAGCAGCTTTATTCCACCTTGTAGCCAGTGCGTCAGTTGCTTTAATCCACCTTGTAGCCAGTGAGCAGCTTTAATCCACCTTGTAGTCAGTGAGTAGCTTTATTCCATCTTGTAGCCAGTGCGTCAGTTGCTTTAATCCACCTTGTAGCCAGTGAGCAGCTTTAATCCACATTGTAGCCAGTGAGCAGCTTTATTCCACCTTATAGCCAGTGCGTCAGTTGCTTTAATCCACCTTGTAGCCAGTGCGTCAGTTGCTTTAATCCACCTTGTAGCCAGTGCATCAGTGGCTCTAATCCACCTTGTAGCCAGTGCGTTAGTGGCTTTAAACCACCTTGTAGCCAGTGCGTCAGTTGCTTTAATCTACCTTGTTGTCAGTGAGCGGCTTTAATCTACCCTGTAGCCAGTGCAGTATGTTCAGTTTTTAAATTACTATATGTATGTATTACAGGCATGCACACACGCACAAGCACACGTACACGCACACGCACGCACACATTCATACATACATACATGGCAGTATAAGTAATGAAGATAAAATAATTGTGATGTCAAAATATTGTTCATTTGGAAATTCTAGTAAACAGCTTCTTGAGTCAATCAGCAAAATGGCACATTTATATTATGGGGATAAATTGAACGACAAGGCTTCACAAGATACAACGTTACAATGATACCAATTAGTTAATGTTTATATAGTACTTGTTTCCAGTCAGGAAAGTCTGCTTAAAGGCGCTTTTAAGAAAAAAAACGAGGTGTGACAAAGTAGTGCGTCTTCAAATTACACTTAAAGTCTGATGTTTCCTGAATGTTCCTGAGATTGCCTGGAAGGGAATTCCACCTTTTAAGAAGGTTCTGTCACTAAGTTATCGAAGATATTAATTGTGTCGAAGTATTTGTAGAAGATATCATGCAATGCTTTGTTTTGTACTTATATGTTCAATCCCCATGCGAAACGTTTGTAAATTATATCTTCATATTTTAGAAATCCTTTGTAACAAATTAATATTTTGTTCTTTATGGCATTATGTCATTGTTGGCGTTCAGAAAATGTTAAAGTGTGATGTGGCACATGTGTAATGTGAATAGGTTACTTTTATGAGTATAATTGTATCATCTTAACTGAATATACATTGTAACACACTGCAACGAAATATGTGATTATTTAATAATGTCACAATTTTGAAGATCATATTGAAAACAATACGAAATATAAATGTTGTGTCTTCGGCTTCTCTTAAAAAATAAATAAATGGATATTTAGGTATATACGCACTGCTAAAAATAATTGTCAAATCTGAACCTTTAAATGTCGACAATGTAATGCGAACGCCGGAATGTGGCCTTGCTGAAACCTGAGCTTATCGGCATTTTGCTTAATATGCAGGACAAGGGGAGGTCACTCTTATTTCTTCACCTTGTTTAAATCAATGGAAGGTTCGATGGTTGCATTGGCTACAGATATGATTTGAATTATTAACCATTCACAGTTGTAAAGATGGTATCAATAGCATCTATCGTATGTTTGGGGGCAGCATGACTTAATGTTCGTTCCAACTGACATCCTGTTTGCGTTTGAATTCTGGTGGTGAATCAAGAAACAGTAGTCATGCCGAGAGCGAAGAATCTAGCGGGAGGAATCGTCTTCACAACGATCCTGTATTTTTCAAGCTTTTTTTGGCTCCATAGTGCTATTGATGCCGTTCCTTCCCTTGATAATACTGAAGCCAAAATGGGCAAGGAATGTTCTGGATTTTTTCCTGTATATGTGGTTCTCATTTGCAGTGGTAAGTTGGTGTTTTTCGGCATGTGCCTTTAAGTTCGTGATAAATGCGGCATACACTGATCGTCACCGATAGTGTTGTGTCTTTATTATTCTATTGCTGCTGACGTAGTCATCGTGTATATGTGTTGTTGGTAGAGGGACACATTTGTAAAATGACGACTTTCTTATTGTATTCTTTTGTCTCGTAAATGTTCCAAATACATGAAACTGCCAAGTCATGTGTCAATCATGCATATAGATATATATCTGGGGATTCTTTTCAAAATGTCAAAATAATTTTCTTTATGCAGTTGTATTTTGACAAGGACTCTGTAAAAGTCTTACTTATATATCTAAGTATTGTGAGTTTAAAAGTTACCAACTTACTGTTATGGATTACATGTATATTTAAACCTAATGTAACTTATTATTTGTGTTAATTCATGACAAGTCATCTGTAGCCATGGTAATAATCTAGACTAGGAGCTTGACACTTATTATTACTCTGAATAATAAATGGAAATGGACAAATCTTGGATAAGATACAACCTTTGCTCGTAGCATCTCCTTTCACATTTGCTGAATATCCTGAATGTGAACAGATTGAAGGCAAAAGGAAGTAAGTTGGTGAAACTTGGCAAGGATAATCTCAGCAAACATGGCAAATTGTGTCTAAAAAGTGCCGACAGAATTCTGATCCTGATCTACTAACATTTCCCCTAACATACAACGATCATATTTTGGCACACGCCATCATGCTTATGATGCACAGCACTTGGTCATTTATGCATTGTTTCATTTTGATATGCAGTGATTCAGGAAGTATGTTGCATGTGCACCATCTTACATCATCTTGTCTCCACTAAAACTACAGGGAATGCACATGCTGACATGCTAAACTAGCTAAAAGCTTTGCATGGATGATCCAAGTCAAATTGTCATTGATATGTTCACCTGTTTGTACGTACTGAACAATTGAAAATGTTATATTTGCCATTTTTCTTGTAATTCAATTATAACTGTTACTGGAAAGATCAACATGGTACATACAGTTTTGGTATTTTATATAGCAATGGGTGTGTAAGTGTGGACATATGATTAGCTGAATTGCTATCAAAAATATTTTTATTTTTATTTAAAACATTTTCAATGTTTTATTCTGTGTTTTGGCAGTTACATAACTATACCTTCAAGAAAAAAATGAATGATGCCAATCATTACCCAAGATGATCCCATTACTGCTGTAACTAAACAGGATCTAATTCTTGTGAATGCCAACTAAGTCTCTGTTTAATTGTTATCACCATAGTCTGTATTCAAAGATTTAGGTGGACTGCAGGGACTGTTCGTACCCTGAAAAATACTGCATGTTCAACATATTTAATCAAGAAATTTTATTAAGAAATATACTTTAATGAATGTAGGCTTATCTTTAATCTTAACCTGTTCATATGCTGCATAATTAATATGTGAATAGCAGTTTAGTGTAAGTCTGATTACTACTGGCATGTTTTTCACGCTGCATTCATAGTCATTATTATTTATTCCTTCTAAATAAGTATCAGTTTGGCCATTCAATGCTAACAAAGATCACAGCCTAACTGCGTATCTGGACTAGGTCAGACTGTGAAGGGTTATTTACATAGGATGTTGCATACATAAATGTGAGAACAACACCCTCAGTTTGTAGCCTGAAATTGATCTAATAGGTACTTATCCTGAGTGATTGTAGATCTGTCATAATTATTTCCCAAGTGCCCAAACAGCCTAAGCCGTACAAGAGGCTTTGCTGGGATTATGGTCTTGTTGTATTTCTCGTTTTATGAGTTCACATAAGCATGATAAGCTGAAGGTTCATGAAAGCTGATAAAGGGAAATGAGAAACCTGTTCAGCGTACTTTGACAGAATCTGTACATGTGATAGACTGTTGTCGTGATTATACTGGTTTCAGCTCCACTGTGAAAGGTGTCCTGGAAACAACAAAGATTAGTAAGCGATTAGCTACAGCCTGTTTGTGGTTGGATGTTCAACTGTCAGTGTCACCACCCACCCAGTTCACCGTCACATGTGGCAATGTTCCAGCTTAAGGACGACAGCTGTATCATGTGTATGTAATTGAGTCATGACTAGACAATCCAGTAAGTGATGTCATGACCAACACTCCACACCAGCAGGTCACATTGTCAGGACAGGAGCGTGACCATCTGATCTAGTTGGTCCTGTATGACAAGAACAGGTTGCTGAAGACATCATCTAACCCTGAAGCCTGATGGTTGGAGCATTACAGGTTGCAGGAGACATAATCTAACCCTGGAGCATTACAGGTTGCTGGAGACATCATCTAACCCTGAAGCCTGATGGTTGGAGCATTACAGGTTGTAGGAGACATAATCTAACCCTGAAGCCTGATGGTTGGAGCATTACAGGTTGCTGAAGACATCATCTAACCTGGAAGCCTGATGGTTGGAGCATTACAGGTTGCTGGAGACATCAACCCTGAAGCCTGATGGTTGGAGCATTACAGGTTGCTGAAGACATCATCTAACCTGGAAGCCTGATGGTTGGAGCATTACAGGTTGCTGGAGACATCATCTAGCCTGGAAGCCTGATGGTTGGAGCATTACAGGTTGCTGAAGACATCATCTAACCTGGAAGCCTGATGGTTGGAGCCTGAAGACATCATATAGCCCTGAAGCCTGATGGTTGGAGCATTACAGGTTGCAGGAGACATCTTCTAACCCTGGAAACCTGATGGTTGGAGCATTACAGGTTGCTGGAGACATCATCTAACCCTGAATCCTGATGGTTGGAGCATTACAGGTTGCAGGAGACATAATCTAACCCACAAACCTGATGGTTGGAGCATTACAGGTTGCTGGAGACATCATCTAACCCTGAAGCCTGATGGCTGGAGCATTACAGGTTGCAGGAGACATCATTTAACACACAAACCTGATGGTTGGAGCATTACAGGTTGCTGGAGACATCACCTAGCCTAGAAGCCTGATGATTGGAGCATTACGGGTTGTAGGAGACATCATCTATACTGGAAGCCTGATGGTTGGAGCATTACAGGTAGCTGGAGACATCATCTAACCTGGAAGCCTGATGGTTGGAGCATTACAGGTTGCAGGAGACATCATTTAACACACAAACCTGATGGTTGGAGCATTACAGGTTGTAGGAGACATCATTTAACACACAAACCTGATGGTTGGAGCATTACAGGTTGCAGGAGACATCATTTAACACACAAACCTGATGGTTGGAGCATTACAGGTTGTAGGAGACATCATTTAACACACAAACCTGATGGTTGGAGCATTACAGGTTGCAGGAGACATCACTAACACCCAAACCTGATGGTTGGAGCATTACAGGTTGCAGGAGACATCATCTAACCCAGCCTAGAAGCCTTGGAGCATTACAGGTTTTAGGAGACATCATCTAACCCAGAAGCCTGATGGTTGGAGCATTACAGGTTGCAGGAGACATCATCTAACCCACAAACCTGATGGTTGGAGCATTACAGGTTGCTGAAGACATCACCCAGCCTGGAAGCACGATAGAGCAGGACCGGTTTCTGAAGACAGCATCTAACCCAGAAGCCTGATGGTTGGAGCATTACAGGTTGTAGGAGACATCATTTAACACACAAACCTGATGGTTGGAGCATTACAGGTTGCAGGAGACATCATTTAACACACAAACCTGATGGTTGGAGCATTACAGGTTGCAGGAGACATCACCTAGCCTAGAAGCCTGATGGTTGGAGCATTACAGGTTGTAGGAGACATCATCTAACCCACAAACCTGATGGTTGGAGCATTACAGGTTGCTGAAGACATCACCCAGCCTGGAAGCACGATAGAGCAGGACTGGTTTCTGAAGACAGCATCTAACCCAGAAGCCTGATGGTTGGAGCATTACATGTTGTAGGAGACATCATTTAACACACAAACCTGATGGTTGGAGCATTACAGGTTGCAGGAGACATCATTTAACACACAAACCTGATGGTTGGAGCATTACAGGTTGCAGGAGACATCACCTAGCCTAGAAGCCTGATGGTTGGAGCATTACAGGTTGTAGGAGACATCATCTAACCCACAAACCTGATGGTTGGAGCATTACAGGTTGTAGGAGACATCACCCAGCCTGGAAGCACGATAGAGCAGGACTGGTTTCTGAAGACAGCATCTAACCCAGAAGCCTGATGGTTGGAGCATTACAGGTTTCTGAAGACATCATCTAACCCAGAAGCTGATGGTTGGAGCAAGCCATTGGGCACCAGACAGATAATTTAGGTGTACCTTTGTGAAAGATGTGCCCATACCTTTTGTTGATCAATTAAACTTAAAACATCACACCAGTTATGTCATTTCAGTTTGTTTAATGAATCAGTAAACATCATGTAAACATGTAAACCTGAGAGCTGGATTTCATGAACATTATCATGACCGCAAGTATAGTTCAGCTTCATTTGTCCAGGACCCATCAACTAACCCACAAGCTATGGTAACGTCCAAAACTGGATTTCATGTTATGCACTCTGGCATTCAACATGACCACGCCCATATTAAGCTGTGAGATTGAGAGTGCCACGAATAAACAGTATGATGGAGTGCAATCATTTGAGTTGACTGGATTCATCACATTTTCCATTTTCCATTAAATGAAGATGAATCCCCACATGGGTAAAATGTGTGAAGCCCATTTCTGGTGTCCCCCGCCGTGATGTTGCTGGAATATTGCTAAAAGCGGCGTAAAACCAAACTCAGTCAGTCAGTCATCATATTTTACATTAAATGGATCATGATGTATATTATATTTATAAGTGTAGTCATGCCGCCAGGGCACATTGAAAATACTTCATCCATGCCATTTCAATATTAGGCGTGCCATATATTATTTGCCTAGAGCCATCCACTTGATAGAATTAAAATGGAATTCAAATTAGTTATATCTTAGTTTTGGTTATACTTGTTTTTACAAATGCTGTGAACATTATCATGAATCTGTGATCTGAAAGAAACATGAACATCTCTCCTGTTGTTGGACCATGCAGATGTGGTGTGTGGTCCTTGCATAGAGCTCAGGTCACAAATCAGTTCTTGTTGAGCAACGTTTGGCAGCCTGAGAGTTTCTAGGACTTCAGTCCTGAACCACAGTGAAGCACATGTGATACATGTGGTCTCACCTCAAGAAAGTGAGTTTGTTAAAAATTGCCTCTGTTCACGCAGCAGAATATGGGTACCCGGTGGGATAAGGCATGTGACTATTAACCTTCTAGCGCCTCACAGGCAGCTTGTGTTATCAGGGGTAATAATAATCAGATTGTGTGCTTTGAATATCCTTTGTTCACTTTGAGCAGGATATGAAGCCTGCAAAGACGCATTATAGATATTCTTAAGTAAATTATTATTGTGTGACAATATGTTAATGTTCATAACTTGTCCATACAATGTGCAGTAGAATGAAATCAATGAAGTGAATGTACAGTAGGCAGAGGAAGTACTAAAATGAATATGTACAGCTGTCCCAGATAGCATTCAGACGTTGGGCCAACGTCCGAATGCTATCTGGGGTTGCATTTCATGAACATTGATTTCAATGAAGTACCAGGGCAGTACCCTGTTCTAGGATCTAGGCATGTTCCAGTATCTAGGCATGTTCACAGCAATAGCTGTTTGTAAGACCACAGTTTTTATGTATCAGTTACATTTACCTTCATGATTATTCTGTGTGGGTTTTAGTGACTGTTACTTAAGCCCGACACAGGTAATGTACTACCATAGTTAACATACCATGAGTTCAGTTTTGGACTCTGAGTTAACGCACACAAAAAAAATCATAAAAACACGCAAAAAATATTGTGCACAGATTCTGATCTACTTAATTTTAAAAAGTACCTTTAAACAGCAATTAAAACAATTTATTAGGCTGCTCATAGATGAAAATATAAATCGAAGCCTGGAAATTCCCATTGTTAAAAACAGAACATATCCTGCCGCCTTGAATCGCGTCGTTGTAACAGGGGGGTATCCTCCCATTACCCCTACATCCCATTACCCCTACAGCTTATAACAACAAAGTTCACGATCCAATGCACTGCTAATCCCCTTCCTGTTACCTGTTACCTGGACAATGGACTAGCCCAAACACATGAACACAAGATTTAATGTTTTAATTTATGGATTTAATTACACAAATAAATGAATATAATACACAGATATCTTCCTGGTCGTGGTACATCGGGAGCGTCGTCAATGGCGTCAACCCACGTGTCCTGGATACTGTTCTGGGGTAAAAGGGGTAGTCCAGCCGCTCTTCTTACCCATCTGGATATTTCCAGATCCTCTCTGTAAGCAACAGCAAGTCCCAGATCCTGGACCTTCCTCCAAATGGCCTGAGAGTAGTGGAAGAAGCAACCCTTCACTTCAGCAGTCGGAAACTCTCTCTCTATAGCATGAATTTTCCGCCAGCTCAAAGTCTGTCTGGACACAGGATGGGGCAAGCGGCCGGTTAAGTTCGTCCAAGTTCGTAATCTCATTGTTGTAGAGGGTGTGCATCGATGTTGACTCCTCCCTCGCTCTCTTCCTCAGGTTGCTGACAAACTCAAAACATTTTGACCTTCTGGCTATCGCATTCCTCAAAACATTGGCGACTGGATGACTCTGCAGTTATGACACACTTCCAGTGTAGACAAGACTGTCTCGACATTCTTAGTGTGTAGATAACCTCAAATAGGACTTGTTGCTACTCTGACATAACAAACTCTGCAAGTTGCCATGTTGATGTCATGTTAGTTTTTTCCATTGTACACAATCTCAAATTACTTGTCTCATCTCAGTGTCAATTTCAAAATTTATAACCCTCAAATAAACTTTCTCCAACCAAGAACACTTTAATCCTTTCTAATTTGATACACAACACTTTACTATACTAAGTCATCTCAAATTACTTGTCTCATCTCAGTGTCAATTTCAATATTTACCATGTTAACAAACTTTCTCTAACCAAGAACACTTTAGTTTGTTTCTAAACATTTACTATACTAAGTCATCTCAAATTACTTGTCTCATCTCAGTGTCAATTCAATATTTACTTCATTTCATTTCTCATTTCTCAGAACACTTTAATCCTTTCTAGTTTGTATACACAACACTTTACTATACTAAGTCATCTCAAATTACTTGTCTCATCTCAGTGTCAATTTTAACATTTACTTCATTTCATCTTAACAAACTTTCTCTAACCAAGAAGACCTTAATCCTTTCTAAGTTGTATACACAACACTTTAGTCGCTCCCATGGGTAAGTTCATTATGCCAGACAGGTAAATGCTGTGTGTTGTTTTAACTAATTGTAGGGGTACTGGGATGTAGGGGTAATGGGATACAACCAACAGGGGCTATGATTGGGCAACACATTGTTTGATCTTTATCATCTGCAATTTACAAGTGATGTGACACCACGCAGTCATCATGTCAAAACGACAGGCGTCCATGTTATGGTTTGTCTTGACTAGTAGATCTGATGCTGATACATGCACTAAGAAAGACACAGCTCTCAGTGCGGGCAGGATAGATGATTAATCCAGTGACGCACTCACCGATTCTATATTAATGGGCTTAAATCTTCATCAAGTTGTTCAGAAATTAAAAAGTGATGTTGCCCACAGTCTATGACATTGCCAAGGGGGAAATGCCGAAGAGAAAGTTTTCCTTTATTATGAAACTACAAGAAATTATGGCATTCCTGCGTTTCAGGGTGGCAAATACTACACACATCATGATCGTTCATTATATTCAAACACTGGAACGTATGTCAAAGCTTGTAAATATAATTACTTCTTGTGATAATGATGTTATTGTAATGCAAATTTCACACGCAAAAGATTTGGACTACATGTTTATAAAAAAAAAACTGCACGCACTAGTACAAAACCTACAGCGAACACTGCTTATTGAAGTACCTGTCTTGTCATTAATGAGATTCATCAGCTTCATGATTTAATACAAATATAATTTCCTGAAAAAGTGAGGTAAAGCACAAACTTGGTTTCCCATAGTATTGGGCAACTTTATGTGCCTTCTACTGGTGCCCTGTACCTTACTCTAAGTATTGACTGTTTTTCAAAGAATGTTGGGTGCTAATTAAGAATACTTACAGATCGCTATAGACTATAGAGGTTGATCAGTGGGGGCTTATTGGAGTGGGTTGATTTATACAACATTTATGGTATGTTTGAATGCCATGCTCAAAGTGGGACATTTCACTGATTTCATTCATAGAGCTGACAGATGTTGCCACACGAATTCCATGTATTTAGATGCTTTGCTGAGAGATCAATACACCAACTGCTTAATCATACAGGAAAGTACACTCTTTGTGTTACCAGGTTACTTCTGAACCTAATGAAGTGCAGTGATGGGGTTGGTCGATGATTTCTTTTCAACATAATCCCTCCATTGTCTGCAGTCTGCCACCAATGCTGGAGTGCCTGATCCCACTGGTGTAGAAGGCCTCCTCTTGGTGGCATAAACCATCCTCCACAGCAGAAATTACATCATCATCTGCATATTATTTGCCCATCAGTCATTTCTTGGTTTTGGAAGAAGTGGGAAAATGACCGCATCCAATCTGATGACTACGGATGATATTCAATGAGTTTAAAGTCACATTCATGAATTGTAGCCATTACTACATCAAACTGCTGCAGTTTGTGTATTTGGTTCAAATGCAGCCTGTAAGCGTGGTAAATATTGTATGAGTATATATTAATGCGTTCAAATTGTTAAGTTACAATACATAACTGTAAATCCTTTGTAGCTAGGCTCAGATATCTTCAGCTGCCCCCTCTATAAGGTAGCCTACTGGTTAATGCGTTCGCTCGTCACGCTGAAGACCCATGTGGGGAATCTAACATGGGTCTTCATCGTGACAATGTGTGAAGCCCATTTCTGGTGTCCCCCGCCGTTATATTGCTGGAATATTGCTAAAAGCAGCCAATATATCACATATCCCTGTTAGTTTGACTCTTGAGAAATTCTAAGACTAGTCCTGCCCCACAACACAGCACACATCACACATGTGGCCTCACCCTCGGCAAAAAGAGTTTGCTGAAATTGCAGGTACCTGGTGGGATAGGTCATGTGACTGTTTAAGCACCCTGCAGGCAGCTTGGGTTATCGAGGGTAATACTGTATGAGCACCTTGAGCATGCACAAGTGCCTGGAAACTGGCACTGTATAAATAGCTGTTATTAGTATTATTATAAATTATGAATACTTAAGTGTGGAACATGTTGACAGAATGTTTATTTAGGGGCTAAGGGTCATGCCTCAGTTTTAAACTTTGAACACTGAAGTACCTCTCTTAAGTTCCCCTTGAGCTGACAGAAAATGCAGTGATTTACAAGAACCATGTTTCTGTCTCCTCCAGGCCATGTATGAGTTGATGCTGGGTGTGAAGGTCAAGATCCAAGGTCGACCTTCCAAGCCAACAGACAGCGTGTTGATATTGATGAACCATCGTACACGACTTGACTGGCTGTTCCTCATGTCCTACCAGCTCCGCTGTGGCTCCCTCATGCACTACAAGATCTCACTCAAGGACCAGCTTAAGTTTGTACCTGGACCAGGTAGATTCTTATAACCATATAACTGATAACCAGAGGTTTCAAATCACTTAGATAAACTAATACTTTTGATTTCAAGATATCTAGCTTGGCAGACATGTTTTGTGTGCTGTTTGTCAAAGCATCTTTCAACAAGAGATTTCATGCAAAAGTGTAAATGTGAAGTGAAATCATTTTAAGAGAGAATTTCTGTTAAGGTAATTACTTAAAGAAAGATCTTGGTGTGTTCCTTAGGCTGGGAGATGTAAAATAGAGTGTCTCAACGTAGTATGTAATCATGGTAATTATGGTCTCCTGACAAAACAAGGCAACTGTCCAGCAACTGAAAGTAACTATTCTTTATTAGATTATGTTCCAATCAATGGCATTTCACTTCAGGCTGGGACATGTAGAATATGTACAGCAATAATCAATGACATCTGTTCCTGGCCTTGAAGTGTCCTAATGCTCAAAAATGTCCCAAGTCACTATCATTTTATCTGAGATTCTTGAGAGGCATTTAGAAGTTGGTGAATGTATAAGACGAGTATATGGATGGCAACTTCTTGTTTATTTTATAACAAGATGTTTCTGGGCTACTTCTTGCCCCTTCTTCAATCACCTGAAGAAGGGACAAGAAGTAGCCCAGAAAGGTTGTGTTATACAATAAACAAGAAGTTGCCATCCACATACTCGTCTTATATCATTTTATCTGTTCCTCAGACTCTGCGATTATACCGGCATTATAAGTATTTAGAGTGATTTTTTTGCATTTTGCATTTTTTTAAGCAGCTGTCTAGTAAAATACTAGGTATACCAATCCATGCCATGTCATCTGTTCCTCAGGCTGGGCTATGCAGTGTGCGGCGTTCCTGTTCTTACGGCGACGGTGGGAGGCAGACCAGCCAGTTATAACAGCGGCACTGAAATACTTCCACAAGGTTGACTACAGGTTGCAGGTGAAGACATGTACCATGTTTGCATGATGTAAATTCTCTAGGATATTATGGGCCAGTGAGGTTAAAGCAAAAGAAGCATTCACAACCTAGTTTCATTCCCCACATAAGCACATCATGTGAAGGAGATGCCACTGGTGTACCTTGGTGTGTTATGATGGGGTTGTCCAGCATGAAAACCTACTCACTCAATATTCAATACTAATTTGGAAAAAATAGATTAAGAATTATCTTCATAGTAAAGTATCACACTTATGGCTCTATGAGTTTGAGATAAATAAGCCTGGTAAACATGGAAACATTTATGAGGGTATTGTATTTTTTAGGAAAGAGTGATAATCATATTAGTTCTAATACAATTTGAGTTTGAAGCATAATCATATAGCCCTGGATAATTCATTGTTAGTTGCAATGTGGTCTGAGGTCTTCCGTTTTCAAAATATTTTCATTATAAGATCAAGAAAAGAATTGGTAAATCGGAAAACAAATCACACCCAAAAAAACATTTATTCTTTTTCAGTTTCTGTTGTTTCCTGAGGGTACCGACTTCACTGCAAATACTTTGTCAAAGAGTGACAAGTTTGCAGAAAAGAATGGCTTCCCTAAATATAGATACGTCCTTCACCCTCGAACAACCGGCGTCGTGTTTCTTGTGCAACAGATGAAGGAAGGTTTGTATTCATGTCTATTTATGTCTTTTTGATGTACTGAAAATAATGACCTTCATCTTTTCATGAATCTGCTCCAATATTATATTGTAAAGCAAAGGACAATTTTCTTCAAAGCCAGATCCATACATATGGAAATTAATTAAGAACACTCAATTCATAAAGTGTGAATTCTCACAATTCTGTGAATAAAGAAACCACCATTTTTCTGAATGATTTATTAATATTTTGCATCTTGCTGTATAGCATGATTGCTTTGTGTAGATATTACAAACATGTGCAACGGTGCGTAAAGCAGTTTTTACTGATAACATGTCCCACTCCCTCTTTTCAATTTGGATTGAATATTCAGTACCATAATTGTCATGGCACGTCGTAAATTGTCCGAGGCTACAAGTTGGCAAATTATTGGCATGAGAAATGCAGGAATGTCCCTCAGACAAATTGGACATCAAGTTGGGCACAATCCTTCCATCATTTCAAGACTCTTGAACAAACCCATGGCAACCAATGCTGTAAACATCTTCCAAGACAGAACCTGAAGACAACAATAAGAGAGGACAGAGCATTGTTGAGACTTAGGTGTTGTCCATGGAACAAGGCAACAGTGGTCAAACTGGAGCTTTTTAACAATATCATGCTGTTTGTACATAATGGCAATCTTAGGTTTCTTTTTGTCAGGAATATCTCAGTTTATCATCTCTACAAAGTTGCCATGGAATTCTGAATTAAAACTGAAATAGACGCACCACAGACTAGTAGTTTCAGCAAGGGACAAAGTGTCAACAAGTCGATGGAAAAGCTGTCATTGCAAATTAAAATTTGTCTCACTATATTGTATCAAATATATGTTTCGCAGTACTGTGTCAGCATAATTGTGTGAAGCAAATTGTGGTCAAGTATTGCATAAAGGTGTAAAGCAAATTGTTGCTGTCCCCTGCTCTGATATGGTCAAGTATTGCGTAAAGGTGTAAAGCAAATTGTTGCTGTCCCCTGCTCTGATATGGTCAAGTATTGCGTAAAGGTGTAAAGCAAATTGTTGCTGTCCCCTGCTCTGATATGGTCAAGTATTGCGTAAAGGTGTAAAGCAAATTGTTGCTGTTCCCTGCTCTGATATGGTCAAGTATTGCGTAAAGGTGTAAAGCAAATTGTTGCTGTTCCCTGCTCTGATATGGTCAAGTATTGCGTAAAGGTGTAAAGCAAATTGTTGCTGTCCCCTGCTCTGATATGGTCAAGTATTGCGTAAAGGTGTAAAGCAAATTGTTGCTGTCCCCAGCTCTGATATGGTCAAGTATTGCGTAAAGGTGTAAAGCAAATTGTTGCTGTCCCCAGCTCTGATATGGTCAAGTATTGCGTAAAGGTGTAAAGCAAATTGTTGCTGTTCACTGCTCTGATATGGTCAAGTAATGCGTAAAGCAAATTGCTGCTGTCCCCAGCTATGATATGGACCAGTTTTGTTGATGTGAAAGGTATCCTAATTGGTTATTTAAGAATATTTAATACTGTGGGTAATACCAGTATATGTAATCAGATGTACTTGGTTTAATTCCCTCACATCTGTTCTATCCTCACCTACCAGTTAAGATCCGGATTAGAATTGATTTTCTGTAACCCATGCTTGTCGTAAAAGGCGACTAACAGGATCAGGTGGTCAGGCTCGCTGACTTGGTTGACAAATGTCATTGTATGCCAGTTGTGTAGATCGATGCTCATGCTGTTGATCACTGGATTGTCTGGTCCAGACTTGATTATTTACAGACCCCGCCATATAGCTGGAATATGGTTGAGTGCAGCATAAATCTAAAGTCACTCACTCTATCCTCACATGAAATGTTAATTCATTTTGTCAACATTTTTTGTTAGAGTTTCACTGGCTATGTTGTCATTTTATTTCTAACCTTACGGTATTTTCTCAATTTTTCAGAAAACCTTCTAGATTCTGTTCTCAACGTCAGTATCGGATATCCCAAAACAATGCCAATTGGAGAATTTGATGTGTTTACTGGGAATTTCCCTGAAGAAATACATTTCCATGTTAATTCCACACCAGTTGTTGATTTCCCTACCTCATCTGATGACCTTGTCAACTGGTGTCAAAATCGGTGGTCAGAAAAAGAAGAACAACTTCGCTTATATTACGAAAAAAGAGAGTTCTCTCCCTTTGAGAACCAAGCAAAAGATATGATCTATGACACAGTTGAAACTGTTAGTGAAGAGTCTATTAGGAGATACCTTTATAAAGTGATTGCATTCTGGTCTGTTTTCATTCTCCTAGTGTTTTACTCCCTGTATACAGTGTCATTGTTTCGATGGTACTCACTTTTCAGCATAATTGCATTTAGCGTTTTGGAAAGAAAGTATGGTGGTTTGGATACCATTCAGTTTTTATATGATTTTTGATGACTCTACAGCATATATTCAATAAGCTACTTCATAATCATAAAAGCTATTCAAATTATATGTTAATTCGGACATGAAATCTGTATGTATGTGTATGCATGCCGTGGTGTCATCAATATTAGTTTCCTGTATTCAGGTGTACCCTTCTTTGGTGTGAAATGGTTGCACTGTCAAGAAATGATGAAATTGGATTTCTACTGTACCAAATATAGAATTTCAGTATCTGGCTAAGTCAGCTCTGGTTACTTTGTGTGTTCCAATGTTGAGTAAGTTCAGTATGTCTGGCATGGCCATATGGTTATGAAGTAACATGTTATGCAGTAACAATAATAATGATAATAATAATAATGAGAAGTCTTATAATGCGCTAATCTCCACGCAACAAAGCATGCTCTAAGCACTAACACCCTGATTATTATTACCCCGGATAACCCAAGCTGCCTGTTAGGCGCTAGAAGGTTATAGTCACGTGACTTTATCCAACCGGGTACCCATTTTCTGCTGGGTGAACAGAGGCAATTTTGAACAAACGCACTTGCCTAGGTGAGACCACATGTATCACATGTGCTTCGTTGTGGGGATGGAAGTCTTAGAAACTCTCAGGAGTCAAGCTGTCAAACACGGTCACCCATCCAAGGACTATCCGAGCTCAACGTTTCGTAACTTCAACTGATTCGTGACCTGCGCTCTGTGCACAGGACCACACGCCACACATAACCTGTAACTACAATGTAACACAGTGATTTATAACATAGTAAGTAATGTGATTATGATGTAACATTGTTACCAAATAATATCTATATAATGTAGCATTGTTGTGATGTTACATGTTATTAGGAATCTTTCCTAACAATATTGCGTTATGATACTTGAGGGCTTGAAATAAGTAGAAGCATTTGGCAACATGATGTTATTTTGCTACCTGAAAAAATGTAGAGATGAAGATGTAGGTTAATCTTTGGTCTATAATTCATGAGACTCGGAAAAATATCAAATGAGTTTGTTGGTTTTGTTTCCTGTTTGGATCTACCATGAAAACCAAACTAATTTCTGGTCATTACCTAAGATATTTAGTGGAACACACAAGTATGCATGGTGTGGATTGATGTGGACAAATGTAGGCCTCGAACTGTCAAGAGCCTTTTTCTTACGGCTGCTTAAATCGATCAGTGTGTGTGAGATGTCTTGAGTGCAATATAGAAAATGTAGGTGTGTATCAATGATTTGTATGATAAAGAGTGTACATGTTTTTTAATAGTATTTTGTAAGAAATAAGATTTTATGTGTGTGCACTAATGTTTTGCCAGATTAGAATGCCTAAGACAACTGTGGGACTAGTCAGTGTTTTTATCATTATTGATTAGATGTGTGTTATCCAAAACCATTTGGTGGTGGAAAACATCAACATAGAAACCTATGAGTCTGAGACAATGTTATAAACATTGCAACAGGATCACAGTTTCATTTGGATGTAAGTGAAATTTCCTCTATGTATTTGAGATTCAGCCAAGCCAAGCTTTAAAGGCAAGATATTGCTACTTGCACCAGTGATTTCAAGAAAGGGAAGACATTGATTTAGAACCACTTCCTTTTATAAAACTGAAGGGATCTGATGAAAAGCTACAGCCGTGAGGCTATTTTGAGCCAGTATCAGTTAAACAATGTTGGTAATATGGTATGTAAGTGGTATTGTATGAGTGAACATGTCTTCTATCTCGCCCACTGATACTGTCACACAGAAGGCCAGGGTTCATGCCCGACATGGTTACAGGTTGTGAAGCAATGTTGCTGTAAGACTAAGAGGTGTTAAACTCACTCTCTCGCCAACTGTGCCTGCAGTAACTTGGGCTGAAGTGTATTTTATTCTGGATTAATGAATTAAACATGTTGTGCATGATGCAACCAATTATCCAATGGGATCATCTCTACTGTTTTTCAAAAATGAATAATTTAGAATAGTATTGTAGTTTAACTTTGTTTACATCCTTTATGGCTTATGGGTAAAACTTTGAAGAAATCAGAATATTTCAAGATATAGATGTGTGCTGTTTTTTCTAATTAAGACAAAAGTTGTTCTTTAGATATTTCCCTTAAGAATTTGCCATAAGGTTCCATTTGTAACATTGTGATATTGTTGTGCCATCCAGTGAAGTAACCATGGCAATGATGCTGTAAAATCAGAGCTGTTATAAGAAGGTATTCTACCACAAGAAAGAAGCAACATTATGTTAATATTTATTTAAGGGTGTATTACATGTTTTTGGAACAAGTTTGCCAATCTGATGCTTAGTTTATGATTCTTCAATCTATTTTTGTCAAATTGTGAAAAAACTGAGATGAAGATACCTTTAACAGCAGACACCTTTAACTGAAGTAAAGGATTTTGTCCAGTAAGTTGACAGGTGAAGTAGTACAATTGTTGTTTTTGTGTAGGTCCTATTTTTTATTTGTATAATTCCTTGTTTTCTCTTCCAAAAGTTGTAACAGATATTCCTGTTACCATGGTAACAGTTCTAGTAGTCATATAGTGTTTCACTTCATTTCTAGTCAAAAATGAACATTGTTGTTTCTGTCGAAGTTTTGTAAGCTCATAGATTATTTTTAATGTTAATAATTGTTTGTTTTCAATAAATCGGAAAGAAGTCAAATACACGAGTTATGGAAACACCTCATGTCTTGATCTAATGGTAGGTGATTGGTGGTTGTTCAGCATCTTCTGGAGAGTCGAAATATGTTGCTATCTGACTAAATTCACTCATCTGATATGATTCTATTTTTAAAATTATACAATACAGAGCAATCATAGTATATGATTGGTTTTCAACAAAAACAAATTTTCTAGAATACATGTAGAGGCCATGTTCAGGGTAACACCAGGATGTTGATTCTGTGTGCGAGTATTGGTTGAAACTGACACTGATTGAAACTGACATTCAAAACTTTTAAATTTCTAACTTGTAAGTTACATAATAGTGGAATTACTTATTCATTTTGTATAGTCTGACAAGGCCAGACCACTTATATTTCTTGTTTTACGGATTTTTGTCCTCAGAAAACCTAAGACAGGAGGGAAAATAAAAAATCATCAGTCAAAGTAATATTCCTATTAAATATTAAACATATTTTACTTTTGGCAATTTATGAAGTGTATATGGGACAAATGCAAAAAAAAAACAATCTAAAAAAAACATTTTTGTAAGTTCACTCTTTTGGCCATTAAAAACATTAGGATTTTATTTTTTGAGCTGGAATTTAAAAAAAAAAGAATTATTATTTTTCTTCAAACAAAACAAGACCGGCGGATTCGAAAAACAAGAAATAGAATTGGTCTGGCCAAAAGAAATATTTATTTTGTCATCTGGCTAATGACCAGATATCTGTGACATGCAAATATTTACTTTTGCTCTTTTTTCATGATGAGGGAAAACTTTTTATCTGCAATATCATCTAGTTTCGAAATATCAAACATACAGAAATATTCTAATATAGCTTCAGAAAGGACATGGGGTGTTACATGACTAACATACAATACCAGGGCGATGCTCATGTCTGTCACTTCTCCAATAGAGATCTGATTGCCTAACTATGGGAACATCTTTTTCAGACATACTTAACCTGGAGATATTACTAACTACACAGTGAATTGTGTTATTTTTCCTTATCCTGACTCATGCTAATTATGCTTGTCTCCTTCCTCTTGAGAATGATAGTGGAAACCTTGAAATCCCTTGAAGTCCCCTTTTGAAAAAGCAGACGTAAAATCACTCACCCAAGAGTAGCGTCCCTTTCCTCCCTTTGGCGCTCAAATGGTCACATGATCGCCCATATTTGTCACTCTCTCCTTCTTCGCCCTTGAGGACAGTTGTGAGAGCACCTGGGTCCCTATACGGCACATATCCTTTTATATTTTCGGACCTTACATCAAAATTATTGCTGTATACGTTTTTTAGGATTATATTCTACATTATGGTTGGATTTTTTATTTAAATTTTTCATTGTTACACATGTGTTTTCTTCATGTTTACATTTCATGAAAACTTGTATTCGTTGTAGGTACCGAGTGTCTGCAGCTGACCCTCATTTATTATGTCCTAATTGCACTGTTTCATGTTCTTTCAGCTCTCGCTATAAATTTTGTGTAAATTTAACCTTTGTTGAATTTACTAATTACCTTTTTTCCATCCATAGATGTGCTAAGGATTGGGTACGTAGGTATTCACAAGTCATGTCTAAACTGAGTGATTGAGCTGATAACCGTGTGTTAACCACAGCTGCAGATATTCATAATTCTAGTGAATTGCTGAACGTTTCTCAGGAGCAGGTCGATGTACCAGGGGTGAATGCCGCAGGCCATAAGAGATCGTCTACTGAGCTGACCTCATCGCAGATGAAGAAGGCCAAATCTTCATCTTCGCAGAAGAAGAAGGCTACTACCATGAAGACTTCAGCAAAGTCTAAGATCAGCTCGACACAGAAGAGGAGGTCTTTCTCAGCCGAGATTGTTCCTCCGGAAGAAGCAGATGCTTATGATTATCCACCCATCCTCATACCTGAAGTCACCATTGTCAGTAAGAAGACGAAGCCTGCTTCTACAGCTACATCGACATTGGTATCAGCGCAGACATTGACAGAAGACCTTTCAACGCAGACATCGGGTACCAGAGATAGCAGCAGCGTCAACTCTTCACGAGGGCAGCAAGCCTTAGATGACGTCTCTTCAGTATCAGATGCATCATCCCTGCAGCAGTCTCTTCAGGCAACGCTGAACTTCAACCCAGGACTGTTCATGCAACAGTTTACAGACCAGATGATGTTGATTATGGAACGTCAGAAATACATGCTCTGGACTTCGAACGAACACGATTTGAATCATCACATCGTGACATCGTACATCTAGGACTGAGATGGGATTTCATTGCCAAGAACCAACTGCCCGGCCAGCCTGACAGACAGTTCCACATCCCAGCACTCTCTACAGTCCTTGGGCCACAGGATACACAGGATCTATCCTTATGCCCTGTCAGAGCACTAAAAGTCTACCTACAAAGGACAAAATAAGGAGACGAAAATTCAAGCGCCTATTCATCCCCTTATCCACTGAGACGCCCACGGAAGTCTCTCTCGGACAACAACATCGATCTGGATGAGAGCTGTTATACTAAGGGCCTATAAAGCAGCAGGACTTGAGCCTCCACGAACCTCCAATCCACATGAAGTCAGAGCCCTGACGTCGAGACTTGCTCTGCATGGAAACTGCCCGATTACAACTATAATGGAGGGCTGCTTTTGGAGATCGAACACGGTGTTTGCCAACCACTACCTCAGAGACATTGCCACCGAAGACGTCTCAGGCATTCACCAGTTTGGGCCACTTGTTGTAGCACAACAACTAACGGTTCCACAAAGGCGCTGAGAAAATCTCACCCCTTTTATCGAGTGACTTGTGAAAACCAACGCTCTGGAGAGCAAATGGTTAAAGTCCATGCACACGTCTAGGACAGACTAGCATGAGTGATAGACCCTGTACTTGTATAGGACATACTCGTACATGAAGAAGGGTCGCATTTCCACTTGATGCACGCATCAAGAGATGGAGTTGCAATAGATAACTAATGGAATATTAGTATATCTAAAATCCACACGAAAATGTCAGGAGAAGTTTCGGAAGAAATCTGACAAGTTGTGGTCCCCCCAGACTCATCAGAGAGAAGTTGAAAGAATCTTCAACAGTGCCGTCATAAGTTCCCAAGGGGGGGTAATACAGGACGTAAATCTACAACCAGTGAATCCAGAATGTGGCTTGACCCACCACTGCTTCTGACAGATTCTGCAAGCATAATTAGCATGAGTCAGGATAAGGAAAAATATGTAATTTTCTGACTAAAATTGATATTTTATACTTATCCTAACTCATGAGGTTAGCCCTCCCAACCTCCCCTCTTATGGCACTCTGGATTTCCCTGTAAATCCGGGTGTCGGGCTTACATACGGAGAGAGTGACAAATATGGGCGATCATGTGTTCATTTGGGTGCCAAAGGGAGGAAAGGGATGCTACTCTTGGGTGAGTGATTTTACGTCCGCTTTTTTAAAAGGGAACTTCAAGGGATTTCAAGTGTTCCACTATCATTCGCAAGAGGAAGGAGACAAGCATAATTAGCATGAGTCAGGATAAGTATAAAATATCAATTTTAGTCAGAAAATTACATATTTATGAACATGTGAAGATAGAATTTGAGAAATATTTACTTATTTTTGTTAACAGATGATGCATTGATAAGACAATTCATTTCAGTATCATGAATATAAATGTGAATGTGAAAATAGAAATTATAAGAGATGAAATTTTTAAAACTACAGAGGTTCATTGATCAGGTTGTACAAGAAAATGGTATTAACTGTTTCAGTAAGTCACAGTTCTGTTTCTGCTCCCAGTATTCTCAATTTTTTGGCACTATATCAAAAATTGACTGCAGCATTTTCTCATGCAGATATAAAGGAGCATTTGTTCATAGCTTCAAAGAGTGAAATGAAGTGGGACAGCAAACTGAAATTTCCAAATATTTGAGATGTAACTTAGAAAAGGAATGGCGATATCTGGTCAGTGGTCAGTACACATCTATTTTTATTTATCTAAACACATCCAGGAGACCAGTAAGTATGGTACATGGCACCAAAATGTGTGCCTACAGAATTCCCTTAACTCAACACAGTGATAGCGCATTTCTTACTGAGTGTGTACTGACAGTGTCACATACTACAATGGTGCCTTGCAGACAAGAGATTTTCTCAGTGTCTAGAGTTTATTTATGCTACACACAATGATATTAATCTTGTACCATGAATCTATTTTACGCCAATACCTGTGCTTGGATTTCCCTTTGTTTGCATGTAATTTTTGTAACCATGTGTTGTCGTATCTCGTATTTGTCAATCTAGTATCTACAAGGATTGGGATCCTTAGTTGATAGGGCTGCACATGTATTAACGGGTTTCTCCAGCGATACATGCCTCCAACCAGCTTCACGTTAACAATCAGCAACATGGTGGGATAAGATTTATGGCTCTTAAAACTTGCTGATTTGAAACTAAGTACTGATTAAATATATAAATTGACTAAATATATAAATTGCCTTTCAGAAACTATTCACTAATCCTAATTATCTCATGCAGTACCATTCTTTCTGAAAAGTTACCTCCCTTACACCGCACCAAGGATCTGATGTTCCATGGTTTAAATCCTGTAGGAACCTAGTAAACCCTTTGCCCTTGTAATGGTTCCTGTGGTATAGTTTGTTCTTTTACATCTGTATTGTATATTAAAGATAATCATGTGTTCTCATCATCACATAGTGCTCATTATTTTCTTTTATTTATAATGTTTATGTAATGAAGATTTATCTTATTTAATCTTATTTATGTAATTAAGATTTTTTATTGTGGTATGAGTTTAGGGAATTATATGATAACATCAAAAATGTTCTCATTAGTTATG